TTCCACACATATCATAGAGTAATTAATATTATGGCACTAATAACAAAACCTTTGATTTTCAATGTAACGAGGCGAATCCCAGAGCTAATCCTTCCAGCAAAGCCGACACCCCACGAATTCAAACCCCTCTCCGATATAGACGATCAAGAGGGCCTCCGTTTCCATGTTCCGCTCATACAATTCTACCGGAATATTCCCTCCATCGAAGCGGACCCCGTTGAGGTTATCCGTAAAGCTATTGCCAAGGCTTTGGTTCCTTACTACCCATTTGCCGGCCGGCTGAGGGAGCAAGCCGCCAGGAAGCTGGTGGTGGAGTGCACCGGCGAGGGGGTTATGTTCATTGAGGCGGATGCTGATGTGGCGTTGGAGCAGTTTGGTGACGAAATTCGGCCGCCGGTACCATGCCTTGACGAGCTGCTTTACGACGTCCCCGGTTCCGGTGGAATCATCAATTGTCCTTTATTGCTTATTCAGGTATGTATATAAGTATATATATTTAATTGTGTTCTCAATTATACCCTTTCGTGTTGCCGTCGAAATCCACTAGTTAGTCATGATCATCCTTTGTTACTACAAACATGCTAATTAGTGACAACCCTAATTTCCATCCTTTCGGACGATGAAGTGACATCTTCAGCGTTGAGTACTTATGTGAAATTCGGTGTCTAGGGCAACTTTAGACCTTGCTACTACTGGTGTTGCTCTTTTTAATCTATACCAAATTGTCTCAATGTGGCCCTCGTTGTTAGTTGTCAGACATTTGACATTAACACCGTTTGATCTAAGATGTGAAATTACAAAAACGTCACATCTCCGAGTTTAAATAATTATTAAAAAAAAATTAAAAATTCAAGACAACGAGAAAACATAGTCCACGACGCCAGCTACAATTTTTTTTTTTAATTTTTTTAATAATTATTTAAACTGGGAGGGATGATTTTTTTTGTAATTTTTAGAATTAGATCAAACTGTGTTAAGGTCAAAGATCTGAAAACTAAGGGCGAGGGCCACATTGAAACAATTTTTCAAGTACAAGGGACAAATCGATGCAATCAGGAGTAGAAGGGGTAAAATAATATCGAGCCAAAGTACAGGGAAAGTGAAATTTATCTTTTTTATTATCACTCTTGAAATCGCACCTAATTTTTGCAGGTCACGCGCCTGAAATACGGTGGGTTCATCTTCTCCCTCCGCTTCAACCACACAATGAGTGACGGTACCGGAATCGCCGAATTTATGTCCGCCGTAGGAGAATTCGCTCGTGGCGCTGAAGCCCCTTCAATACAACCAATTTGGGAAAGGCACATCCTCAGCGCGCGTAATCCGCCACGCGTGACATGCACGCACCATGAGTACGATGACGTTGTTAATAATATCCCAATTATACTCGACGGCGACATGGTGCACCGCTCCTTCTTCTTCGGCGCCCCCGAAATATCCGCCCTTGACGGCCGCCTGCCGCCGCACCTACACCGGAACTGCACCAAGTTCGAACTCCTGACAGCCTGCCTATGGCGCTGCCGCACGATCGCTCTCTCTCCGGACCCTAACGAAGAGGTCAGGATCCTATGCGTCATAAACTGCCGGAAGCGGTTCAATCCTCCACTCCCTGCCGGGTACTACGGCAACGCTTTTGTTTTAGCCGCCGCCATAGCCACCGCAGAAAGCCTATCCAAAAATCCATTTCATTACGCGGTGGAGCTCGTGATGAAGGCGAAAACCAAGGCAACGGAAGAGCACGTTAAATCGGTGGCGGATCTTATGGTAATCAGAGGTCGGCCCCATTTCATGTTGGTTGGGAATTACGCGGTGTCCGATGTAAGGCATTTGGGCTTCGGAGATGTCGATTTTGGGTGGGGCAAACCCGTTTATGGAGGCCCGGCGAAAGGCGAAGTCGGTGTTGTACCCGAGTTATCGAGCTATTACATACCCTTCAAAAATAAAAAGGGTGAGAACGGGATTATTGTTCCCATTTCCTTACAAAAGAACGCCATGGATGTGTTCGTGAAGGAGCTCGAGATCATGCTGAAAAATGATAACGAGAATCGGGTGTGTTAGAATTTATTTCGTGCAAATATTAATTATTTGTGTCAGATTCAGTTTTTGTTACTAGTGCGTGAAGTGTTGCAACAGTTCGTGAAACAGTTTGTAAAAACAGAATTAAACGAGACACAAATTTAATGTGGTTCGTATAAAATTGTACCCTACATCTACGAGGATCTGCAAAAAAACGAATATTAACTATTTTAGTTTTACAGGCACAATATTAGGACTTAAACAGTAAATTAAATACTCCCTCTTTATCTTGACGCCGTTCTTGTGCAATACTCAAAATTAGTAATTCCGATTATGCCAGCCTCCTCTCCGCTCGGTTGAACTCCCTTCAACGGTGAATCCCTTCAGTCGGCGGATTGATCTCCTCTCAAGATCTGTTTAAGCCCCTCTTCCGAAGAACCGATCTTCTTTTTGTATAGAAGAAGCAAACTTGTGATAATCCTTGAATCTTGGTGTCTTCACCACAAAGCCTTGAAGCTGATATATTTTCTATGAAAATCACGTATCACGATGGAGAAATAAAAACAAGTGGAATTTTTTCCTCTCCAACGAAAAGCGTGAGGTATGAGCCGTCGTGCTGCTCTATTTATACTTCTACAAGTAATAAGAGTCGTACAAGGAAGTAAAGTTCATTACGGTTAGGAAACTCTTAATCACGCAGGAAATTATATTTTCAATACAAGGAAATTCATTAGAAGAATAATTCCTATTATAAATCAACTAATGACAATTTAAAAGAATTAAAAGCTACAAGGAATCTTCCCTTCTTTAGCTCACGGTATATGCAAACTTATGGCACAAGTTTTATTTAATACTTGTATAGTTAGAATCCAAGGGATTCTAACAATCTCCTCCTTTGTCGTTTATTTATTATAATCATTTTCTCCCCTGAGTAAAAAACCTGAAAATAAAACAAGCAGAGGATAGACAGAAGCAATAAAACTAAAGATCATCCTCAGCATTAAAGGAACAGCGCATCATCATCATCTCTTTCAACAAAAAGAGTGGCATCAACTCCTGCTATAGTATGTGCCACAGTTTCAGCAACTGTTCCACCAATAATGGCTTCGGCACGTGGTTCGCAATGGAGTCAGCTCTCCATGCATGTGTTTCTCCCCCTGTAGAAGATCATTGGGCAGCTCCTCTTGTAAATGACTTCAATCTTTCCTTTTGCTTACATGGCTTGGTAGACTTAGAAGGCGGCGGAGGCCGACGTGGTAAATTATCCACGTGATAAGAGACTCAGCAAATAACGTCGGCATTAGCTCCTCCTTTTATAGTCTTGTGCAGACCTAAACCAATTAATGACAATAAACATAATATTGAAAATGTGAAATTCATTTTATTTTGGATACACACATTCAGGTGATTAATATGGAGAGATAATTTATTTCTTCTCAAATTATCTAATGAGATAACTAAGGAAAATATGTTCCTCATATTAATACACATCTCCACAGAATTCCACTTGGTGTTGTGAACATAGAATCCCACCGAGATTCTAACACTCTCCCCCTTTGGCATTGATTAGTCAGAACATTTACTCTCCCTTAAAATATGGTACCTACATGAACAAGGGTTAGCAAATTCAGAATAACATATGCAAATATAAACTGTTGCAACAGTTTATCAAACAGTTAAGCAGTTAGTGTAAATCGTAAATAAACCATGGTTCCAAAATTAAAGCAAATAATCCGTTCAGATAAGCACGAGATAAAAGGATATGCAGTAGCATAAACAATTTCTCTTCACAATGCTCATTATTTGTCCTGTATTTCTGCACTATTCCACCAGCTATCTGATGCAATGTCTCAACAGTTGTCTGAACTCCCCCGGCATTCCTGGACTGTTCCAGCAACTGTCGGATGCACTGTAGCAACATATGTCGGAACTCCCCATGTGTTCATGCCGTCGTTATTGTTCTTTTGTCCCCCTTTCTGGGCAATCACCATGCATAGATATATCAACATGGACTAATGAACTCGATGTTTCGAGCAATCTGTTCAAACACTTAACAAAAAAATCAAACGAACAGAGAATCTTGAAAGCAAGTGAGAAGAATCACCACACATAACATGCACAAGAAATCACTAACTCACAAACTCAATATCCCACTACAATTGTAATGGGAAAAATCAAATGATAGTTATATCACATCCAACATTAAATAACCACGACAACTAACTTTGCCAAACTTCATAAGACACGTGGGAGTGAGAGGAGTAGACCCAATAGATCCGGTTGCAGCAAAAGTGAAATTTAACCGGCACAAAAACAAACGACCCCGTCTCCCTCTTTTTTTTTTTTTTTTAAGAAATGCCTAATGCAAGACAAAAAAAAAAACGTGAGTGAGAAATTGAACGTGAGTGAAGAGACATATGTGAAGAGGATACTGCATAGACAAACAAAACATATGGGATTTATCTCCACATTCACGATAAGCGCAATCCCCAAAAATCCGACTGTCAATGCTACCAATAAACTTAATAATCCCAAGTCAAACACAAAGATGCTCTTATTTGGTAGCGTACGCACATGCCCAGTGGTAGCTGTTTCCCATGAATAACGGAGCATGTAGATGCTTTCTGACAAAGAAAGCAAAATAAATAAATAAATTGGTCGGACAATTTGTAGTTCACTGGCCTTTCTAATTGGGCCGTGTAACGAGCTTTCGACCAAGCGACTCCCGAACCAAATGGTTATGAGGGCACTAGGTATATAGGACACCTTGAAAGTCTTACTGACTCGACTCAACTAGGCTTCGAACTTAACACTGACCAAATTGATGTAAATTGATGTGTATATAGATAAATTCCATTGGTCGTGCAATGTGTAGTCCCCTGGGCTTTCTAATTGAGCCTTGTAACGAGCTTTCGGCCAAGTGACTGGTTTACTGACTCGACTAATCTAGGCTTCGAACTAATCACTGACCAAATTCATGTGCATATACAGTAGAACATCGATAAATTAATAACCTCGCTTAAATAATAAATTTTCCTAGTCCCGACTCGGGGACAACGTGCTAAACTAATAATTCGCTAAATTTATAAGATAATACACATTCGAAAATTTTAAGAAGCCCCATATAATATATAAATTAATAATGCATAAAAAACAATTCTTAAATTACATGGTACAGTACATACTTTGTAGATCTATGAAAGCTTAATAATATATAATTTAATTGTCGCTTATTTCTTGTTGAAGTTCACATTACCATCAATCTCGTTCCTCACTCTTCTTAACATGGTTAGACCTTTCCGCATAGTTTTCTCATAACTCAACATAAAATCGATCTATACCATTGCTTCTTTAAGAGCTTCCGCTCGTGAAACGGGCTCTATAGTGCATTGAACTAATGGTACAATGAATAATATACACGTAAATGTTTTAAAAAAAATGTATTTATTGAAAATAATATTAAAATTAATTTCATAAATTAATAAGTTATTTAATTAATAATTATTAATTTATCGATAAGTTAATATTTCGCTAAATTAATGAAATTTTGATGGTCCCAACTGTATTAATTTATAGTGGTTTATATATATATATATATATATATATATATATATATATATATATATATATATAATAGCAATCCAAGAGTAGCTTTAACTCACCGAAAGAGGTAGTATTTTCCTATAAAAACATCCAACCATGACAAGACTATTCAGAGAAATACATAAGTTGGAGCCTTTTAAGTAATCATTTTGGGAATTGGTGAAATTCTACCCCCACAAAGTTTAGAAGTACACGAAGTATCAAATTCACATTTGTCTGAATCATATGCAGGCCCTATATGAGATGCAAAAACATTTGAAGTGTCCTACCACTAAAAGTTGCAAGTCTGGACAAACAGACTGTTGCAACAGTTCATGCAATTGCATCAGATTAAACATCATAAATTCCCAGCGATTTTCGCAAGGAATCAAATCTATGTGCATCAAGGGTTTTTGCAAAATCATCAGTTAATTAATTCTCTGTTGCAACATAATCTATTGAGACAACCCCCTTTTCAACCAACCCCCTTATGAAACGGTGAAAAATATCCGTAAGCTTAGTTCTCGAATGCTGAATTGGATTCATCGAATTATTTTTTGCACTCAAATTATCAAAATTCAGAAGACCAAGTTTCTTATGCCCCAATCCAATTTTGTCAACAGAACTGTTGGAACAGTTAATACTATCATGACATGATTTTAAAGAAGTAATGGCAGATAAACAATTAAGATCAGATTTTTTTACCCAGAATTTTTGTTGAGTTTTATTCACTAAATCAACCTTTATCTTGGGTTTTTGAGACGACACAAAAGTGTGATCAAATTTAACGGAAAGTGGTGTTTGGGCCATTATTCTTTTAACCATTTTCAAGTACTTAAAACACCTGGGCCGTACATGACCAGAAACATGACAAAAATGACAAATAGGCACAAAACATTTTCTTTGAGATGACTGTTTTGACACAATTGTCGCAACAGTCTGTGAAACAGTGTATTGTTTAACAAAATTGATTTTTCCTATTGTATCTTCTTTCTGTTTCAAATCATCATCAAATAGTTTATTACCCCTTACACCTAGATGACCATAGTTCGGCTGATTTGTTCTCAATTTCATTCAAATATACCCTACCTGTATTTAATTTTGAAATAGAATCTTGGGTTTTAGCAAATTTAGCCTTCAAACTATATGTTTCTCTACTAGCACAAATAGCATTTTGTTCAAGAGTAGAAATTCTTACCTTCAATACTTTGTTGAATGATCTCGTGTGACTCATTCATTGAGGTAGGAAGTCTCCAACCAGTTTGAATCGCGCAAACCCATTCATCAATAGATTTGATGAACATCTTCATCCTTATTTTCCAATCAGTGTAGTTCAATTCATCCAAAAGAGGTGGTAGGAATGCGCCTTCACGATGATTATTCATATCTGCACAGAAAAAAAAATTTAAGTCCCAAAATCACACTAAGTGTATCTAATGACAGGCTCTTGATGCCATTTGTTAGAATTTATTTCGTACAAATATTAATTATTTGTGTCAGATTTAGTTTTTCGT